TCTACCAAATTCATTCCATGAAAACAAAAGAAAAATATGCTAGTCTTTTAAGCTATGGATTTTAAGCACAAAGTTTTCAGATCTTAAAAGGGCATGAATCGTATGCAATTTCCAGAAAAAAGTTTTAGTCATATTCAATGAGGAATTTGTATTGTCAATTTGGATTTTGATTGAAGTTTTTTTTAATGGCATCATGCAGTCTTTCTTTCCAGCGATGACAAAAATTGTTGGCACCCTTGGCCCAAAGTCACGATCAGTTGATATAATTTCCCGTTGCCTTGATGCAGGAATGTCTGGTATTCTCCTATTACAGCTTTTATTACTTGTGGTCCTTGTTTTAAAATTGAATGCGTTACATTTTTGTCCATATGGATCTCATCTTTTGTCCTCTTTCAGCAGTGGATTATAAGATGTGACATATTTGATTTTTTTTTCTTGCTATATTGTCAGAAAAACAGAACAGCTCAGTCAAGAATTATCTGTGTTGGATGGCCTTGTAGTTTCCCAAAAGCGCAAGAAATACCAAAAACCTATTGCAATCTAGCTTGTAGCAGTTTTCCTTTTCGCCTTTGGGAAAATACACATTACGAATAAATGAAAAAATTATATTTTGTTCGTGTCTACAATCTTCTTGAGTTATGTGTTTTGTTATCTCATTCTTTTTTTCTTCGCATGTGCTAGTGGCGAGGTTAGACTTCTCATGGGGTGATCCAGAATACCATCAGGAGACATTGGAAAATTTGAGAGCTGCTATCAAAAGAACCAAGAAACTCTGTGCGGTATGCCTGTCATATGTTTACTGTTTATTTATTGTGCATACATGTGGCTTATAACAGATTCATATCAAATATCTTCTTGAGGGTTATTGATGTGAAAAATTTACTTGTGCATTTTGGTTCAATGCCAGGTTATGCTAGATACTATGGGTCCAGAATTACAGATTGTGAATAAGACTGAGCAGCCAATCACCCTTGAAGAAGACACATTGGTTGTCTTAACTCCAGATCAAAACAAAGAAGCTAGTTCAAAACTCTTGCCACTAAATTTTAGTGGGTTATCGAAGGTCAGTGTGACATTTCCATGTACTTTGTAGTTTTCCGGGTTTGCACTTTGCAATATTGTTGTGTTGAATAATCATGTTGGTTCTGCCATTTTTTTCGTATAATCTTCTGATATTTCTACATGCACGTAATCATCTTGCACTTCTGAGATTGTTCCTGTCAGTTGTTTTCTTGTTGCATCTTGGTGTATGAAGTCGATAGGTTCTGTGATTCTTAACAGTGGTTTGCGGAATGATTGGTTTGGTCTCTTTTCTGGGATATTTTTTCATTCATGTGTTCTATTTCAGTCCACATTTAATATCTCTCCAGAATGGATGATGATTTTTTATGCCGTATTTGATAATTCTGAATTTTCATCATGGCACTTTGAAATTGTTCAAACGCTCAAGTTCCTGCGTTTCTTGACTCGTGATGGCTTTCTTCTACATTACTTTCATAAACCACTTTGCATTGATTGACAAGGATCATGCCCATTATACTCTGTAAGGATTCGCAAATATTGTCTGGTGTCTCCTTAACTAATAACTAATATGTTCATAATTTCGCAGGCTATTAAGAAGGGTGATACTATTTTTATCGGAAAATACCTCTTCACTGGAAGTGAAACAGCTTCAGTATGGCTGGAGGTAAAGCAATCTAGGTTTGATTATTACATTCTTAATATATGTAAAAGCATTTGGCATATATTTTGAAATGATTTATCATTTCTAGCAGGCGTATATTTCTTTCCACGTTCCTCATTTCTTGCATAACCTCTTTTTTTAGTTTTTCTATCTTTATATGTTCTATTAGTCTCTAATAATGCAGTAAAATAGAAGGTTTTTTCATCATCCATTAACAACAGACTTGCCATATGTATATGCTGCTGGTTTCAAAATGCAGGTCAGTGAGGTGAATGGTGATGATATCTCCTGCCTCGTAAAAAACACTGCCACACTCTCGGGACCATTGTTTACTGTCCATGTCTCTCAGATTCATATTGATCTTCCTAGTCTCACTGATAAGGATAAGGAGGTACGTAACTAGAATCATGAGCAAAAATTACTGAGGCTGATATAATTTAGTTGAGTACCAAATATACTTTGGATTTTTGAGACTGAATGCTTCAATTTTTATCTTGTTTATGGAGAGGACTAAACTGTGTTTTGTTGTTGAAATATTAGCTTTAGTTGATCAATGGCAGAAACTACTTAATGCTGTTGCACAATGGCTTATGTTTCTGTTAGTCTGTCAATCTAGAAAATGCATAATTTATATGTACTAACAACAAAGAGTTTAACTGGTTTGATTTCCCCCTACATTCATAAAGCAAATACCTTTGTTGTTATTATCTTTGTTAATATAAATGTTCTCTTTTCATTTTACGAAATTCAGGTGATACGTACATGGGGTGTTCGAAACAATATAGACATCCTTTCATTATATACCAGGCACGCTCAAGATATTTGCCATGTAAGGAACATTCCTGATAAATTTTATCCTTTCAATTTTATCATATGTCTTTCTATTTTCTCTAACATTCTTCTTGACTCTATTTTCAGCTTCTGAATTTTCTTTGTTTTTGTAGCGTCTGTGATTGAATGATTAATTTTCGTTTAGTTTTCCTTAGTATTTTGAAAAAAAAAAGGCCAAACGCCAACATTTTTCATTTTGCAGGCGCGTGAATTTCTCTCTAATTTGGGTGACATTAAGCAGACGCATATTTTTGCGAAGATTGAAAACATAGAAGTAAGAAACTTCAAAATCTTTTGAATAGCTGACTCTCTTCTTCTGACAGAAAAATGCTATGCTGTAGAGTTCTTAATTGTGATTCTAACATGCATCTTTCTTCCGTGAAATTATAACAGGGACTGACAAATTTTGATGGGATATTGAAAGAAGCAGATGGCATCATCCTCGCCCGTGGAAATTTAGGGATAGAACTCCCACCTGAGAAGGTCAGTGTTTATTCTGGACAGAAAAATCCAATGTTATATATGAAATATTTCCATTTTTTGTGTTAGTATTTTTCAGCATGAAGGAAGATCTGTGTCTACTTGGGATTTTTACGGCATTACTTGCTCTCTCCAGAATAAAACTATGCTAATTTTCCATATTCATCTTTGGACATGACAGGTTTTCTTATTCCAAAAAGCTGCTATTTACAAGTGTAACATGGCTGGAAAGCCAGTTGTTGTTACACGTGTTGTGGACTCTATGACTGATAATCTAAGACCTACTCGTGCTGAAGCAACCGATGTTGCCAATGCAGTGTTGGATGGTAAATTCCTTTTGTCATAACCGGTGAATCCTGCTTCATTTTTCTATAAAGATTGCAACAGAAAATTATATGAACTCCCGCATTTAGTTTAAGATGTTCATCACATTATGCACAAGTATTGTCTAATTTTGTTTTCTGGTTTCTTTATGATCAGGAAGCGATGCAATTCTCCTTGGAGCTGAGACCCTTCGGGGACAATACCCTGTAGAGACCATTTCAACAGTTGGAAAAATATGTGCTGAGGTAAGTTTGCGTTTTTCGCTTAAACAAATTCCTGTAACGTTTTTACCTTAAAGGAACTATTCCTGTGAGATATTTATGGTGACGTTCTCTTCCAAAACTTTGCAATTCAAATTCTTTCCAGTGTCCACCATCTCATCCTCTTATGCTTTTGAATTGATTTCTTGTTATTCTTTGAAAGTTTCCCTGTGTATATACAATTATTTTTTCAACATGTCGGTTAAATGATATTATGATTTTCTCATTATGGTAAATTTAATCACATTCCTTATATAATTACTTCCTCGTTTTTTATATCTGCTGTGTGCAGGCAGAGAAAGTTCATAATCAAGATTTGTATTTTAAGAAGGCTGTAAAACATGTGGGAGAGCCAATGAGCCACTTGGAAGCAATTGCTTCCTCAGCGGTACGCTTCTTGGTTGAACCATCAAACTTTTTTTATTGGTTTTATGATTCTTTTTCCACCAACATTCTTCTGTTAGCTTGTAGTGTAGTAGTAATACATATTGGGAAGTAAATTTCTTTTTGCTGAAACATTCAGGTTCGAGCAGCTATCAAGGTTAGGGCATCTGTTATTATTTGCTTCACTTCATCTGGAAGAGCTGCAAGGTTTCACTTTATCTCCTTTTATAATTTCCCTTTATTAAAACGACATCTCATTTCTGAGATTGTTGACTTGTATTCACATTTGTCAAATTCTCTCTGAGTACTTTAGTTCTAAGGTGATTTTTCATTTTTATATGTTAGATTAAGTTATTAGCATTTACTACTCAGCCATGTTCTGTATTTTCCATTTGATGTCTTGCTGACATAATTAATTATTTGTTTGTTGTGTATCTATGTAGATTGATTGCTAAGTACAGACCAACCATGCCTGTAATATCTGTTGTAGTTCCCCAGTTGAGGACAAATCAACTCAAATGGACTTTCACCGGTGCTTTTGAGGTATATAACTAATAGGATAATGGTATTTTGACATTTAAAATTTTCTTACTCTCATTTGACATTACCTTCCACTATTTTTCACATATCTTTTTTTTTTTTCTTTACAAATACAAAAGTTTACTCTCTTTTTTATGACTATTTTATTAGCTTTTTGGATTGAGACTAATTACTTTTTGCTAACTGTTTCTTTTGTGATCCTATGGCAGGCTAGGCAATCACTTATTGTGAGAGGTCTTTTCCCTATGCTGGCAGATCCTAGCCACCCGGTAAGAATTGTTCAAAGTTCATCAAGATAATGATGTAACTAAAGAACTATTCAAAACCACTTAATTTTTTTTTTCTTATTGTACAAATTCAATATTTCAAAAAGCTCAGAAGATATAACAAAGTACTCTTATAGACAAATCATATAAATTGAAATAGGAAATACAATAATGCTAATCCAACCAGAAATAAGATATTCCAAGGCCAATTATGACCCTATGAACTCTGCATTAAAGATGCTCTACGACGCCTATTATAAAATCAAATCAATTTCTTTCTAATTTTATGTTCCATTTCTTTCTAATTTATAGTTTTAAAAGTGATTAAGGTTAGTGATTTGTGTGCAGGCTGAGACTAAAAGTGGGACAAATGAATCAATTTTGAAGGTTGCTTTAGACCATGGGAAGGCTTTTGGCATAGTAAAACCACATGACCGAGTTGTTGTTTGCCAGAAACTGGGTGACTCTTCAGTTGTGAAGATTATTGAGCTGGAAGATTGATTACAACTTATGCATAATTTGATCACACAGATGCACAATAAAACTTCTTCTGAACCTCTTCATTTTAGCATTTATTTTTAGTTAAAGAAAAATAATAGACAAATGAGATGATATTGTAGAGGTTGCTCCACTCATTTTGTTGCTGAACTGAGTCCTGTAATCCAGTTCATTGCTGAGTGATATAGAGTGGAAAGGATATTTTGTTGAGCGGTTGTTTTAATAGGCAATCACAGTTTTGAGTTATTAATGGCGTGAACATCGAAAAACCTTACATAATTATTTTCCAAATTTCTTTCATTTATTTGCTGATAATTGGAGTGATATCTATTGCGAAGTGTGTTGATTGATATCTCGGTTAGTTGTAGGGGATTTCTTTTTGCACCCTCATATTCTCCTTCCGCTGAAAGTTATCATTTTATCTCTGAAAATGACTTTTTAATTCTATTATTTTTAGATGGTGTAATTCATAAATCATTTTTTGTTTTTGGTAAATTTGTTTTCGCAAGAACAAAGCTTTTTGTGTTATACAGCTTAAGAATTAATTTTTTATGAAAAATAATTTTCTGATGTGCAATTCGGAACATTTTCTTCATTGAATCCGCCGTGAGTGACAGTGACAGAAGGTGACAACGAACAAGGAGCAGTTTGATCTTTTAACCACCCATGGAGGTGCACATAAAGGGTATGGGGGTGTAGAAAGAACTGGTTTTAGTTGTTTTGTTTCAAATTTGGAATTTTTGCTAGCTTTTTCTTCCTGCACCCCATGATTACTAGTTGCATCCCCAGAGTAAAAGCAAAAATATTAAAGCGTTGCTCCCTCCACCACCACGGCATGCTTCCTGTACCTTCTTAAATTTTTTTATTTCCAAAACTATCCTTAGGTCAAAGGTTAAAACTTTTTTACTTTTACTACGAATTTTTAATTTATTTTCAAAATCCTTATTTTACCTCATTCATATTCCCTGAACGCAGCAGCTACACCTCCATCCCATGTCAACTCAATCTTCTTCTACCGAATTGTGATGGTGGTGGAGTAAGCAATGCTCCTTCAATAGTCGTAACATTTTAAGAGTCTTCCTACAATCATGAAAAATTGTAACACTTTGCAAGAGTCGTAACATTTTAAGAGTCTTACTAATTTACCCTTTCTTTTAGATAGTTTTGTTCATAAGTATTTACCGAGTTAGCAAGAAGACTAAAATAAAATATTCTTCCTCGCGGCAGAATCTTACACAAGGACACCATATGCAAAAATTATTTTCAGAATAGTTATTCCAAATTGTTTTTTATATTCTTAATTAATTGTTACAAAATATATTTCCAAGTTTGAAAGGTGTATGTAGAGGTGTAGAAATTTTTATTATAATTTTAATAAGGGGTAATATGGGTTACAACTTTTTGGATGTACACGAATAAAAAAAGGGGTGCAGGAAGAAAATGTCACCTGTTTGTTTGTGTGTGTGTGTGAGAAAGGAGAATATCAAAATGGAACTGCTTTCGATTCATCGCAAAGTAATAGGTGACAATGCTTTTCTTCATACCACACATGAACTTTTAAATTTTTTTGTTAAATTAAGATGATATATATGTGTTAGTGTGTGTGTGTATATATATATATATATAGTTTGGGTAGACATATATAATTCAATGTCTCAAAAAGAGCAGCAGATACTGGTCTAGTTTATGATGCCTCCTACATGGACTACCTTCTTTACACTTGTAAACTAGTAAATTTCTTGTATTTGGCTTTGACATATTGAAATAATTGCATTTCTAGTATTTGGATTTGAAATATTGAAATATTGAAATATTGAGTTGTTGTTTACCTTCACTAAAATGGTTATGCTCTTTTGATCATGTAAAGAAGGTAGTCCAAATTTATTTTTGTCACATTGTATTTTACAAGAATTGAACAAGATAGATGAATATGATTTCAACTTTCACTATGGGAATCTTCTTATTAATAGTATTATACAAGTCTCGGTCTTTTCAGTGTCTATTTATTTTTCATGAATCATTCAGGTTGCAGGGTTCTTTAATAACCACTTCAAAATCATAATCAGATGTAAGATGTCCTATAAATATGAATACCTCAGACTCATTTTTTCTTCACATAGACATGAAACCAAACACACTTTGATAAACTTAACGACTTACCTCAATGATTGTGCCATTGGTGAGCTTAACAGGAGCAAGAAAAGACCGATCCACAGTGTTGGTGCCAACAGTGATGATCCATGATGCAGGATTTGACAAAGTTTGAGGCGAAGGGCCAGAGTTACCTACACTGCACACTTCAAAATATTTTCCTTTAAATATTTCATTTGAATATACAAAATTTATATTATAATTCATGGGATCAAACAGAAAGAAAAACAATTTATATGTTAATTCAAATGAATATTTAAAGAAAATTATACTAAATGAAATATTTATTAAATTTTGTCTAAATTTTATTTTAAAGTCTAAATTTTATTTTAAATTAAAATTTAATAAAAATTTCAATTAGAAAATTTGTGAGAGGTTAAATTTTATTATAAAATCTTATTATATAAAAATACATTTTTTATGTAATTGTTATAATATTTGTAATTTCAAAATTATAAATAATTTAATTGAATAAATTAATTAATATTGATTTACAATCTGGATAAGTATAAATATAATGTAAATAAAATACAATCAAAACAAAAACAAATTTTAAAAAGCGAGTTAAGGAAATGAATTTAATTGTGAAAATCCGGTTAAAGAAAAAGTATAAATTAATTGTATATGAATGCAGCATAAATGAAGCATATCAACAATAGTATTTTCTCAGCATAAATGCATCATATCAAGAATAGTATTTCCTTCTAGGAGAATGATAAAGACATCCAAAAATACTTGAACGCGTTTTCTGCTTGAATAATATTTGCTACTTCAACCTCTTAATATATTTGATGGAGAGACGCATGAATCTCTGAGATATTTGATGCAGAGGCGCATGAACTTCGTGATATTTGATGGAGAGGCGCACGAACCTCGTGATATTTGATGGAGAGGCGCACAAATCTCGTGATATTTGATGGAGAGGCGCACAAATCTCGTGATTAGAGATGTCAAAAACATTCGCAGGCACGAGTATCTGTGGGTAAAATCTGCGACGGGTAGTTACTATCGACGAATATTTACCACCCGTGGGTAACAGGTAGTGAGTATTTTAATACATGCTTCTAAACGGGTCGGGTACGGGTAGTATACTACTCGACTCGTAGTACCCGTTACTCCCAAAAAATAATAATAAAATTTAATTTATATAGTTTTTAATTAAATTTAATTAAAAATAAAATTAACTATATTTTATTAGGTTAAATTTAATTAAAATTAGATTTTAATTATATATATATATATATATATATATTTATTTATTTATTT